TTAGGTTCAACATCATTCCATACTTCCTCAGTATATCAAACATCTCGGTCAGGTGCTGACAGTGATCCTTGGCCTTGATACTTTTGACCAGCATATCGTCAACATACACTTCCATTGTTTTTCCGATCTGTTGGGAAAACATGGAATTCACTAGTCATTGGTAGGTCGCACCAGCATTTTTGAGACCAAATGACATTACCCTGTAGTAGTAAAGGCCTCGGTCAGTTACAAATGAGGTATGTTCTTGATCTGGGCCGTACATCGGTATCTGGTTATATCCGGAATACGCGTCCAAGAAGCTGAGTAGTTCGTGTTCGGCAGTGGCGTCCACCATTTGATCTATTCTTGGCAAAGGAAAACAGTCTTTTGGGCATGCTTTGTTGAGGTTGGTAAAGTCTATGCATACCCTCCAATCTCCGTTGTGTTTTTTCACAAGGATCGGATTTGCTACCCATTTCGGGTATTTGGCCTCACGGAGGAAATCGTTATGCAACAGTTTTTGCACCTTCTCGTTGAGTGCTTCATATTTTCAGGGTTCAGAGGTCGTCGTTTTTACTGCTTTGGCCGAATTGAAGGACCCTCCTGTAATTTGTGGCATGCGATGTTGTTGTCTATTCCTCTCATGTCCCCGTGATTCCAGGTGAAGACATCAAAGTTTTGTCTAAGAAAGGTCACAATTTCATTTCGGGTGGATGGCTGCAGCTCGCACCCGACTTTGAACTCCTTTGTTGGGTCCTTGGCACAGACTTGAACTCCTTCTAGTTCTTCAACGGGTTCTCTCCTTCGATCCTGGTCCGCGGGTCTAGTGGAATGAGCTCGGATTCCCATACATTTGCCTTATGCACTCCCAAGGAGTTGCGTTGATGGCTGGTACAGATTTCCCTCATGGCGGTCGTTTGAGGGTCCTGCCGTCATGGAGAACTTGGTGGTGTATTCGTTTCATGAGGGTGGGTATGAAATGGATTTCTGGAATTTGAGCTACGACTCATGGCTCTCGAATTTTGTGAAGAGAATGAGACTATTTTTCACAATTAGGGCTCTCCTTCCAGTGCCAAACTGTTGACGTCAAAATTAGCAAGGCTAATTTTAAGCTAACTTTAAAAAAAAAGGGCGATTTATTGTTGAAAAAAGACCACAAAATATATTTAGGGAATGTAATTATGTCTTGAGTTGTTGTATGAAATCACTTGCCCTTTACAAGAGTCCTATTCAACTATTTATACATAGTTTCAGCCGACATTACATCAAATCAGTCAAATCAGCAACAGTACCGAGCTCGGAACTCGGGTCACCGAATTCTTTTGTGATTGGTCAATGAGGTCAGTGGCCATGTGTCAATGTTTTCCCCAGGTAATGATGACCTGCAGGGGGCTGGAGGTTAAAGACTTAGGATTGGTTGTTCCGGGCGGTGATGATGTCACCTGTGGCAAGTATATTTGATTGATAGGGTGATGTGACAGGGAGTAATCATGATATTTTTATGAGATAACGGCAGGATTATCCGATCTGAGAGTAAAGACCGAACTCACATTTAACTAAGGTAGGGTCAGCGAACTATTTTTATTAGATCAGAGTTCGGATGTCAACAAAATAAAACAAAATAAAAAGAAGGAAATGAATTATAGAATTAATTACAACAATAGTCCCACTTTTTTATTTAAAAAAAATACAAATAGATTCCAAATAAATAATTAAAAAAAAATCTCTTTTTCTCTCACCTATCTCATCTTTTTCCTATCCCCACCACGGCCACCAAAGTACACAACCACTAACCATTAAAATACCCCCACCAACCACCCACCAAACTGCTATCTTTTTTATAATTAAAGCAAATGAAGTATGCCATTACTTTTGTGAAAATAAAAATAAAAATAAAAATAAAGCTAGGGTATATTTCAAGATTTAGGGGGTTTTCCGGGATTTTGGGGGAAAACTGAAATGGGATTAAAATGGAAAAATGGATAAATCTATGAATCGAGTTTCTGGGTCCTGAGTACAAAAAATGGGGGTAACAAATTCAAAAGCTGAGAGAAATGATGCTTTGAGATTATGCAAATAAAGGAAAAGATTCATCAAACAAACCATTGATTCAAGATGTCTTTAGCAGCTACACTCATTTCATATTTTCTTAGGAGATATGCTGAGACTGAGGTTCGAATAGATCCCCCTTTCTATCAATTTTAGTCATTGATCTTGATAAAACTTCTTCACATTTGACATAGACATCGTCCTCGCAATCGCGTTATTGGTAATGTTTTGAGTACTCCAATCGTTAATGGGAGCACCCTTTCGTAGTATATGGCTTGAGTTAGTTACACGAGATCATGAGGGGTAGCATTTTGACTGTTAGAGTGAGTCCACAGCATAGGAATATGTATGTGTAGAAAGAGATTTTTTTATTTATTTATTTATTTTAAATTTTAATATTTAATTAGTTATTTCAGACTCATTTGTACTTTTTTGAAAAATTGGGACTATTGTTTCAATTAATTCTTTATTTTTTCCCTTCTTTTTAATTTATTTATTTAAGAAAGAGGATATATTCATCATTTCACATGATTTTATCGAGAAAATGAAAGAAGAAGTTGTATTCCCTAGCTACTTAAAAAGTTATCGAGGAGGATTTTTCGTCAATTTCAAAGGATGGGGTGGGGTATTCCATAATAGAGGCAAAGGTTGAGGGGAATTGCTCCAAAGTCCAATATCAAGATTATTCATTTTCTTTAAGTGAATTTAACGACAGCATTAATAGGGATGGACAATGGGAGGGTCTTTCTCACCTCAAAGGTCATATAAGATTTATTTATTTATTTATTTATTTATTATTATTATTATTATTATTATTATTATTATTATTATTTTTGTAAATTTGAAAGGATAGAAAATATTCCGTAATAAGGGCAAATGGGGGGTGGGGGGGGCGCTAATGGCCTAAAATATAATAATATTAACTATAACTAATGTGTAAGAATTTTGATTACATCTGTTAACAACATTAATTTTTCAAGATGAAACTCATAATCTTATTGTGAGAGTCCATTAAGTTTAAATAAGTAATTCGATTTGACAAAGAAGCACATAAATTTTAAAATTGGTGTTTTCAAATAAATCACAATCTTACCGATATATTAAGAGATAAATTACATACCGATTAAAAATAATAAAATTAACTAACTTACGAAAATTTGAAATATTCTTCGTAAGAGTGTTTATCTTCCAAAAGCGAAATCGTAAAAACGGAAACACAGCACATGTAATTTTATACATCAATCGATGAATATTTTATTTCATTTTGTCTAATCTAATATATCAAATATTTCACATTTTATGCTCGGGTTTCCAATTCTAATAAAAGCTCAATAAAAGATAATTTGCTTGGTGGCCATCCTTCATTGTTAAAAGACCCAACATACAGAGCCCATGTAGGGGAAGAATAACGAGAGAGGGAGAAACAGAAAAGCAGGGAGCGGTTGTGGTGGGTGGTGCGTCGTGGTTGTGGTGGTGGTAGTGGTGGTGGGGTTGGAGCCGTGGGTGTCAACTTTGAAAGGGACGGGTGGAGTTTCAGTCAAAGAAACATGGCCTCCAATGAGAAATAAAGTGGACATTACAGTTCAAATAATTGTCCTATCCCTACGCTTATCCCCATCCCTAGTCTTTAGCTCATCTAGGCTCAGGGGTATCTTTCAACTGCATATTTTAGGGCTTTTACTAATGTGTCAAAACACTTCCAAATTAATATATTGTGTATGACCACAGAATTTTTTTCAGCTTATCAACCTCTTAAGGGCCCGTTTGGTAGAAATTTTGAGAATTGATTTTTTGACCGTTAGAAGAAAAGTGGGGTCTACATGTGAGAGAAGAAGTCAAAAATTACGGCTTAAATAGTAAAATAACGATCAAAAAATCAATTTTTTTGGGTAAAAAATCCCTGCCAAACGGGGCCTAAATTTTAGAAAAATTTCAAAACTACATTCATATGATAATTGAATTAATAATAAGAAAAAATTAGCTCATACCTTTTGTTACATGAATCTTGATATAGCAAATACTAAATCACTGGAAAATAATTGAAATTAGAGTTCAAATTTTTTTTTTTTTTAAAAAGGCGCAATTCGGGATTGTAGATAAAAAATTATTCATTTTTGAAGCTAGACAGTCGAGTAAACTCAAGATTTCATAACAAACTTGTTTGCCTTGCATACTAAATTTTTGCATTGCAAACTTGAGATCTCATCTATTAACTCTTTAAATATCTATAAAATTCAATACATGTCCAGCAAAAATTTGTCATTTCAATCATCAAAATATATAGAGAGTATGTAAAACACCCAGTTTTAAATTCCCTTTGAAGGAAATGTAGGTTAGGATTCATATATCGTTGGATTTGATTTGGGGCATGACGTTTAGGGCTTAAATGAATGGAAAAAAAACGCTATTTAATGTCGATCATTTTGTATTGAAGGGGTGATTTTATTTATGAGCCAATTTCATTAACTTGTGCTTGACATAGTGGATTTTAATGTTGCTACGTCGGACTTTCACATTGACATTGTTAAGAGAATGATCAAATTTGTAAGAGTTTCAAAATACGGTGACCGTTATTATAAGAAAATAACTCAACTATAATTTTTTTAAGTTATTTTGAAACTTCGACGATTGTCGCTGGAATTAACCCTATATTTAATTTCTAAATAATTTCTTGTTTAGTATAAGTTTAATTGGTGATTATATTCACTTTTGGTCGAGTATACTTTTTATCTACATATTCGTAGGATTTACAACTACTACTGAGTTAGTATTCATGCATTCCACAAGATCCCAATATAACTTAAATATAATTTATCACCAGCTAAACAGGATTGCATTTCTCACTTCCATTTTGATATTACTTGGAATCTATGAGAATAACTTCCAAGGAAAAAAAAAATGAAAACAAAAAAAAATGCACACAATCAATCAATCTTTTTCCTCTACTTCTACCATGGTGGCTCAAAAACCCTCACTTACTCCCACGTGAGTTCCACGACATACAGGTCTGTATTTTTATCCTTTCGCAGTCTCTCTGCCAGCCTTCAAAATAGTTGAAGACAAAAGGCAAAGAATAGCATTAGATTGTACATATATAATTATATGTATAGGCATCACTTTCTTGTTTATGGTCCTCCTTTGCACCACCATATAACCATCAGTACTGCATCATCTCCGCTTAGATCTTCACATGTGGTGGGGTGACCTAGCTCAAACTGGTAAACTTTCTCTCTGTCTACATTTTTTTTTTTCTGTAGTTGCACTCTTTATCATGTTCAGTTTCTGAACATAATTTTTCAAGTTAGATAATAACACAGGAGCTCTTGAAAAAGGTTAGACAAAGAAATGTATCCTTCTAGCAGCATATATAATAATAAACCTTTCGAGTCCTTGTTCAAGAGGCCTTTTCCATTTGATCAAAACCCTAGCCCAAAACAAGATGACCCTTCACTTTCCTTCCATTTTCCTTCACCATTTCTTGATGAAACTGAATTGTCCTGGAATCAAATATTGTCCCAAAATCAGCCCATGGCAGTGCATAATTGCATAGCTCATGATTACCAGATAGAAACCTATGTTGATACTACAAACAAGGAAACAACAAAATGCAGCAATATTGATCTCTCCAGATTGAATGAAAAATCAGTTGAATCAACTCCAAATAAGTCAATTACACCATTGAGGAAGAGAAACCTCGGTCCAACGCTGCTAAAGAGAACCGGGAAGAAGGATAGGCACAGTAAGATTTGTACAGCACAGGGAGTGAGAGACCGGAGAATGAGATTATCGATTCAAGTTGCGCGGAAATTTTTTGATCTTCAAGACTTGTTAGGCTATGATAAAGCAAGCAAAACCATTGAATGGCTTTTCACAAAATCGAAGAAGGCGATTAAGGAGCTGAGCAAGAACAATCCAAAAGTAAGGACCAGTTCTACCATCGATGATTTAAATGGGGAAACCTTTGTGTCTGAACGTGACACTGTATCAGTAATAGAGGGGAATTCAATCAGTGCACACAAAGGAGTTGCAAGAAAATGTGCAAGTATAGAAAGAAAGAAAAATGACAAGAAATTGCGAAACTCTGTGTATAAACCTAATACGAAGGAGTCCCGGGACAAGGCAAGAGCAAGGGCAAGGGATAGGACAAGAGAAAAAATGATGATCAAAGGCCTGGAAGATTCGACGCAGTGGTTTGAATCAAACCCTGATGATTTTCAACAATTAGGGCCTTCCAGTAGTTCCTTTGAAGCTGAAGAAGAATCAAGTTCTCATAATCAGAAGCAAGGTGCTCATACTAACTCACTGGAAAATCGATTATCTGATGTGGGAATAATTGAGAAATTCCAAGGAGATTCAAGCTCAAATTCTTGGCATGTCTCTGATTATTCCAATAACAATTTCATGGGATTTCTTGGAAATTGGGACATGAATAATGATAGAATCAACTCAGAAATGACAAACATTGTTTCATTTGCAGGTAACCCCAATTCTGTTTATCTAGCCACCTCTGATTTTCCATTCCAGCAATAAGTACATGTTAGGAGATCATCCTGCATGTGTAAAAGATTTGGTTATTCCATATATTGCGTGTTTAATTCTTTGGAACTAATGAACCTAGAAATTTCCAAATCTTATTGTCTGATGTATCTTTCTGTATCACTACAAACTTTCTTTGATAGTTTATAGAATTTTTATTTATTTTTGAGAAAAGAGGGATACCAATCACCATGAGATCTAGGTTCTTCCTGTCTGAATTGATTTATTTACAATTTTTTCCCTTCTAATGTTCTAGGCATTTGATTCAGAAAGAACAATTAAATTGACACAACATGATGTAATACCCCCAGCACCACCCCCAACCCCATCCCTCCAAAAAATGGTAAAAAGGAAAACGTAAGGAATTTGACAATCTATTGAAAATCTTATTGCTTTCCTCCAAAATAATGGACTTACTCTTGCAATCAGGAGTCACTTAACTTGAAAATCTCATAATTGAGAAACAAAAATTTATCTGAACTCAACTTCAGAACAAATATAATTGCAAAGGTTTGAAATGCAGCAGATAGGTAAAATGTTGCAGATAGTAGAGCAATATTACACATCCTTTGCAAACTTCAATACTCATAACCCATGCACTTAAGACAGGCAGCACATTAATAAGATAAGAAATTTGAACATTTAATAAATGGTGCGATCATTATTATGGAAATGTTACATTTACCTCACATTTCATGCTATACGTTGTCTAGGAGATTGAAGTGCACCAGACAATATTTCTATGCAACGGAGATACTCTGGTAATTAATTCTTGGGTACCTAAAGTGTTAGAAATTAATTATTCGTTGCTGGTTGAAATTACTGGTTACCCCTTAAGCATTTATTTTGTCCATGTAATTATTTGCTCGAGTTGTTGCGATAAAAATAGCAATCAAATTAGTCATTTAGGAAGATGGATACCAATCAAATTCTAATGTTAAGACTCAAGCCAGCCATTTATTAAGATAGATGAAGAATGAATATAGATAATTGATCAGCTTTCATCTATTGTTTTGCCGTTAAATCAACTAGTTTAAAGTTCCAAGTGCAAGATTTTCAGTCATACCTTTTGTCATTAAATACACAATTTTGTATAGACAAAGCATCTTATTACAGCTACCTCTTGCTGTAATTTTCTATTATCTTTTAGGAAATAGGCATGCAATTATTGGGAGATCATATGAAAAGGTTTGAATGAGCAGCATTATTATATATATAGAAGATTTGATTTTTTCAGCTGTTTTAATTTGTGAGAATGTAAAGCTCTATACATTACTTTTTCAATCACTTAAGCATTTTGATGTATAGTTTGCTATTTTGGGGATTTTTTTGTATACTTAATTATTCCAAGAATCATTCACCTTTTATCTGACATGATTTGAGAATTTATCAATTCTAAGAATGGAAAAAGTGGTACATATTTTGGCTAAGCTTCTTAGATCTCAAAACTATTAATTTGAGGGCACAACTAAAGGTATTGAAAAGAGTCCATAAAATGGAATTAGTTGGAAACCATCTACAGCTATAGTAGAAATAATAGTATGGTAAGGCATAACTGAATTTCCCTTTTTTTCTTAATTTTTATTGTTGAGTTTGCACTATTGTACTTCTCATTCTTCTGTCTAATTATGTTGTGTTGGATGAGTAGCTGCAGACAAAGAGATATTTATTTGTTTGAATGCAAAAGAATATTGTGTATTTTAATGCTTAGTAATTAAAATTTAATTTATAATATTGATGCTTCATAAATGTATACCTTTTAGAATGTAATTGGTAGAGACAATTAGATAGTATTGAGCATTAGTGAGAAAGAAAATGCAGTTAAAATCCATTCAAATTCATCGTCCAGTTTTATTTAACAAACATGTCACTCTTGTTTAATAATCTCCATAAGACACGAAATTACCTTCGGTTACTCCATTATTAATTCCATTACATGCCTGTATTCAACAAGGAAAATATATGAGCAGAAGTACAAAAAAGGGTCTTTTAGTAACAACCATCATTGCATACTTTTTTTTTTTCATTATTGTATACAATCATTAGCAGTGTTTCAATGTATTGAAGTTAATGAAACTAAGATTGGCAGAAGGAAAAAAATAAGAGAACATAGATTGTCTGTGAAGACTGATGGGGCCCAAATTAATTGCACTACCGACTATGGTTCGGACGCTATATCAATTGGTATATTATGTTTTGCATGTCCCTTTCATTTTGACTAGAAATTCAATTATGGAACCCCAAACAAAACTTGTCACTTTCTACCGATGCTGCCATACTCTTATAGTGTCTCAAGTTTCAGAAGTGTGATAAATACCGTCAAAACCCGACCCTTACTTGTCCCTTTCATTTTGACTAGAAGTTCAATTATGGAACCCCAAACAAAATTTGTTACTTTCTACCAATGCTGCCTGACTCTTACAGTGTCTCAAGTTTCAGAAGTGAATGATATATACCGTCAAAACCCAACCCTTACAATTGAGATTTTTTATTGTAATGTACGTAGTGTTGATAACTACGGAGGAGGGCTCATAAGTCACCACCATTAAAAAACTTACTAGAAACAGAATTTTTCTAATTGTTTCCCTAAATACAAGCATGAAACTCCTGTAATTGTAATCATAACTTGTAGTAGAAACATTTTGATTTAAGGCACGTACATAAAACTGAGAAGTGAGAACTAATACATTTGGCATATATAATCTTTCCAATGCAGTAAATTCATACTTACATATTCTATGATCCACAATTATTTAGTATACATCAATTGTACCAGTACGTAACACGGTAAGCTGGCCTGGATTCGAGTTCGTGCCAAATCTCAACCTCGATGGTGGAATTGAAAGATAGGAGTCCTTGATCAAGTACTCATCCATTCTCATACTTAGTTATAACTTTTCTCTACTTAATTTCTTATCAAGAAGAATTAACCAAGGTATCAACATGGTACTTCCTTCAGTTCAATTCTAGTGAAGTCCGACGTTTGTTAAGTGTGCTGACTATTTGGAATATATTCGACAAAGTGTTTAGCTCGTTATATTCACTATGTAGTGCTTTCAGATTTCAACGTCAATAGCAAGAATATGAATTTTTAGGATTCACTTTCACAAATTTAGATTGATTTTAACATGTATACTAGTTCTTAAGAGTTACCTAATTTTGGGGGAAGAAAAAAACCTAATCTGAAATAATCTCATACCATGTATGCACCAGTTCATAGGGTCAAAGTACAATTAGAAAGATGCATTTGATAAAGTTGAAAATGATGTCATTATTGGAATTTTATAAGTATGAAAATCCATAGAGAACATAAATGTTAGTATATTTCTCTATTTTAAGAGTTTCTCAAGTTTCAAAAGTGAATGTTAATCAACATACTATCTTGTTTCATAATAGTGAATCTAGAATCCGTTGTAGGTGTTAAAATGAAAAATTTTCTTATATTCTTCTCATTGGTAAATGAAACTAGGTTCGAAAGCCTCACTCTCGATAAAACGGATAACTCATCTGGATAACAAATAGAATGAGTCGATGCGAGCAAAATAAAAAGGGTATTGAAATCTCATGGAGGAATTCCTAATAAACACCTGTCATAAGCTCTAATTGACTCTTTTCTTCACTTTCCTTGCGTTATTGTCTCTCTTCGTTCGTCAATTTCGGGTCACCAAACCCTACAACTGATGAAAAAGGAAGCAACAATTTTTTTTTTTTTCAGCTCTTTCTATTTTCTATAGCTCAATATTCTAAAAGGGATAAGCCATAGTAATGTGTGGAGGTCAAACCTCAAATCTAGACACAATATGGTGTTTCCTATTTATAATATTATTTTAACCATTTTAGACCAATAAATAAATTTAAACGAGGTATAATTTGAAAGTCGGAACTTCATACATATTTTTTGAAATTTTCAATAAAAAAATTCTCAAAATTGTAAGTATTGCAATTACTTTGGAATTTATTCTTTATACTAGAGTATATATGATATATTAACACGAAAGAAAAGAGTACGACCAAATGTTTGAAAATCAAAAGAAGAAAATAGAAAATAAATCTTCTAAAATTAAATATTAATATATATAAATAAAAGAAAAAGAAAACAAGAAAGGCAGGTTATAGATCTTAAGACACAAAAAAGAAGATGAAAAAATGTAAACGACCTTTGTTGCTAAAGATAACACCAATCAATTCTACTCCACTCCTCTCTCCAAATCTCCACCACAGCCTCCACCAATCTTTTAAGAAATAAATACAATAGTAAAACTAAAATGAAAAAGACCTTATGGGTCTAGATTCTCATTTCACGTCAGTTTTGTTACAATGGCCTTCATTTACATATACGGTGTTTGTATTTATAGATTAGTCGTTGAGTCTTGGCTCATCACTAGGTTATGATACATTATTGGCTGTCAAGTTAATCTTAACAAATGACTCATTATCTTTATTAATTTTGATCGAGTTTTCATCTTTTTTGTGCCAGATATCTAGGACTCTAAAATATCGACTTATGAGATTCAGAAAAAGGACATTTGGCACGTCTTAGACGGTCAATGAAAAGTTGACCATACATTTTCTCGTCTTCCCTGTACCTAGGGGTACTTACTACTTAAACAGGCCTAGATGTACCGTTGAGAACATTGCTAAAACCTCTTTATCTAAGCTCAAGGCTCTTGTCTTTCAGTATTACTATAAAGTTTGGGAGCCTTTATTTTCTTCCATCATTTTTATACATCTAATCATTTTTCAAAAAAAAAAAAAAAAAAAAAAAAAATCTATATTATATTTTCAACATTATATAAATTTACTTAAATAGATTAGAATAAAATTAAATAAATCATATCATTTAAATCATTAAAATCTTTTAGACTTCCCATAATTTTATATACACGACACATGAAACTTGTCGCTTCAATATAAGAACCTGTCCTTGTTTCTTTGCAGCATTTATCTTGAACTTTTTGGAAAGCGAGCAAGAAATTGAATTGAAAAATGTTTGCTTTTGGTTTACAGTACTGGGAAAAGGATGAAGCGAAATTGTTGGGTTGCATTTGAGTGTGAACCACAGTGGAATAGCTTCCAACATTTGGACCACAATACGGAAATTTGGAATTTAGTATTGAGGAATTCAGAAAGCGTGAAGACTGAAAATATAAAAATTATCTTTTATAATGG